TGAGGGAGGGGTGAGTGACAGTGCTGTGGGGAGAATGCCATACTGTTGTGGGTGAGGCCTCGGAGAGGTGAATGAGAACTGCAAGGCACTATGGCTCAAATCTCAAGGTGGCTGGCTGGCTCTTGCACTTCCTTCCCAGAGATCTCTGTGATAGGTTTTGAGATGCCGCTGATTTATGCAAAATAAAAGAGTTGAGTGTCTTTTAAAAAGCACAGTTCTTCTAAAACAGTGATGGGAGCAGACACACGGTAGCCAAGTGGGCCAATGGCCATTTGCAGAGATGTGAATGAATATCCCTTAAAGGTCCTTATTAAATGCAAAGAAGTGGTTTGTTAAAAGAATAGTAAGGACTGAGATAAATTACTAGACTCCGAGGATGTGTTGTGGGAAATGGAAGAATTTTCTTTACCCCTCCAGTCTTGTCCTGGGCTGTGTGAGATCCATGTTTCCCACTAATAGGTTTGTTGGTTCTTTGCCTCTTACTGGCTTTTCCAAAATTGAATTGTTTAATTTGGAAAGATATTGGGAGGAAAAAAAACACTCAAACACTCAGTGCTTGTGGGAACAAAATTTTTCAAGAAGCCTGGCCTTAGAATTTAGGTGATATAAAGAAGGAAAGGAGCAAGAAACAAAGGAGGTATCAGATAATGTGAGAATAAATTGTGTGGGAGATGGGCCAGTGAAGCAAGTATGTGAGGAGGGAATAGTGAGGCAAATGGGTTAGTGGAGCTGAGAGGAAAGCTAGAGAAATTTACAAGGTTAATTAATGAAGTCTAGAAAAATTAACTAAATGTAATTGAATTTTCTTAGCCATTTTGGAAAGCGTATTATGGGAACCTCTCTCATTTTGTCCGCATGTGTCCTCATCAGGAGTTTGGTCAGTGAGATACAGCCAAATTCAAATTACTAGGTGACATGGAGACAGTAATGTTTTCTATAGTTTCAGTGTGTTTAAGTTTCTTATTCTAGTTTAAATTGGTGTTTTTGTCTAAACTTTGTTCATCTAATATTTGTACTTTGTGAATCCGTGTTTCTAAATTGTAAGGCTTGAGTTTCACATCTCTTCAGTGAAAGACACTCCCATTCTTCAGAAATTTGGCAGAGGACACGTTACAGTGGAAAGTGCGTTGAGCAACTTTTAGGCAGAGATTTCAGCCCAACTGCTATAGGCTAATACAGGAGCTCCAGTAGCAAAGGCAAAAGAAAAAGCCAAACCTGGCTGCTCCTCTGCTGGCAGAGGAAAAGATTTGCAGTAATACAGTAGAGCTACATTACAAATAACAGATGGTAAGTTACCTCTTTTTCCTGGATGCCAGTAGCAATGCCAGAATGATCAAGCTTTCCACATGATTCATGTAAGAAGGAATATGGCCCTCAGCAGGATGATGAAAGAAACACAAGAGTGGGAGCCCTGCTACTTTGGTTCAACTCAGTTCCATCTCCTTCTTCTAAGAAGAAAAAAAAGGATGATGCCAGTCAATGTCTAGTAAACTCGAATACATTCATACATATAAATATGAATTGCATATAAACATAGTTTAGGGGCATCTGCTGATTAAGATGGAATGCTCACCAGCCACGTGATTACCCCCTGGCCCAAGGAAGTGCGGGGACAATACCCTTCGCCTCCTGTCTGCCTTTCTCCCACCCCTGTTCCATCCCCCCTCCCTGCCTTGCTCTGCCCCTGCCTAGGGTTAAACGCTAGGCTTAACCCATTAACCTTGGAGCAGCGCCTGCCTGTGGCTGGCGGTGCTACAGGAAGGGGGCTGCTCCAGTCCGACGGGGCCTGCTGTGCATGGGCTGCTCTGGCTATGCCAGGCGGCGGGGGGTGCTCCCGCTGGGGC